GTATGCGGAATCGCCGAATTATCTCGAGAAATTCTGCGAAAAAAAATCCTCACTAATTAGTTGAATCCTTACGTTTTGACATTTATCTGAAGTTGAGTCCATCCCGCCTCAACACCGAGCATTTTGGGAAATGACCGAAAGGAAGAAAGAGATTTACCAGGCTCGACAAGGCATATGACTGTGAGGCGACTTCTGACTGATTCAATTCGTTATTTTATCGGCCTTTGTTTAACCAAGAAGTAACGAAAGTAGATTGACTGGTCGTTTCTAAATTTCAATATTTCTCAAAGATGTCACGTTGAGAGTAGAACGCATTCTTCCGGCAGCTGGGTAATAGTTCAACCCTATAAGACCAAGCCAGAATTTCTCCTTACAATATCAATACAATATTAAGCAGAGAAGTAATGAGAATAAAGAAAAATATAAATGAGGGAATTATTTCTTAATCCACTACCAAATTCTTCGAAGTAACATCATAAGCAATCAGTAAGGAGAATTATAACATAACCAAAGTAAAGCGCGCGCTCTGATTGGTCAATTCAGCGTCCACCATTTTCCCATGGGTGTACGCTGCTGACGTGAGCAAATGTAAAGACTAGTTTTCCGTACGCGCTTGTTTTTTCTGATCACGTAAGATTTGTTAAATAAAAGAAAACTCTTTTGCTACAGTGTATCAATGTTATGTTATGAAACAAATGGTAAACGCCACAGTGTACACTATTGAGTTATGGATGCACTAGAGAGGTTTGCTAAGCAATCAAGAAGGTAGAGTCGCTCTCGTCTATCGCCTCACGTGGCTCTTACGCTTCTTTCGTGCTTAGCAACCTCCCGTGTGCATCCATAACTCAACAGTGTACGCTGTGGTGTTTACCATTTGTTTATTAGTAATGAGATCTAGGGAGTGAGAGGTCTACGGAGAGGTTTGAGTTTGATGGTTTCTTGCCAACTCTAGTTCTTACCGACATCTTCGGATGCATGACTTTCATAATCAAGGAGGACCGTAGCTTGCTGAAGAAAGTCTTTAGCGTCTGTTTTTACACCGCGCATGTCCGGCCGGGAACCATTCAATCCACCGGGGCCATCGAAATACCCAAGGGCAGTATAAGCCTTACCGAAGCTGTCATTGGCTTCTTTGCCGTCTACGTTTACCTGTACACCCAGCACAGGGTTCCCACGCTTTGTATAGCCACCGATTGTGAAGACGTGAGAGTGGTCAGCGGTCACTGTTATTAGGGTATCGTCTTGAAAGTAATAATAATGATGATATTTATAATAAAATGGTGAAGTTGATCAAAACCACTGTAGTCCCGGATTAAAACCGACTTCATAGAAAAGTGCAAACTTTGCACTACAAGATTTTTCTGATGTCGGAGGATTGTCCTCTCAAGTCGCCCAAGAGACAAAAAATAAAAGCAAAAAACAAAAAGCAAAAAACAGAAAAAGAATTATCTCATGATGCGAGGGGGAACCCCATAGCAGCATTGTCTGTTAACACAAAATTTCTGAAAAGTCCTTCTATCGTCAAGAACAAAGAAAATACTTAGAAGAATCACCTTTCTGCACAATATCGTTCGCCGTTTGGACCGCTTTGTTGAATGCAACGGCTTCATGAAGTGCATTATAGGCCGAGCCATCGTGGTGTGCATGATCAATGCGCCCCCCTGTGGATATAAAAGAGAACTCGATGGCTGAGCTTGACGCAACTTTTTATTTAAACAGGAAAGCGAAATATAAACGCATTTTATCGTGAACAGGGTCAAGCTTTTAAGCAACCTTGTTTCCAGTTTGCAGCCTCGTTTTCACTCCTTCTCACCCGCTGAAGCGAGAAAGATCCCCTTTTCTCTCTACAGGAAACAGGAAGAAGATAAACCCTAGGAACGAGGATATCTTACCAAACTTAAGTGTACCCACCCTCCCACCCCCCTTCCCCTACTCCCCAACCCGGGTATCAACAGTTCTCACTGTGCGTTATCGATGTGCTTTAGCCCAGTGATTTCTTGCATGCGTCCAGGATATAGCGTGGCTAACATCAATTGTTTATTGTCAAGGTCACAAAATCTACGTTTAGGCAATGAGAAATGTGTACCTTCGACTAAAAGAAAGTATCCCTTGGGGTTCTTCTGTAGTATTTTGATGGCTTTTTCAGTCATTTCTGCAATTGACGGCTCTCCTAGTGTATCAGAGGCAGTTCGATCTGATTCGTACTGCATGTGAGAAGGCTCAAAGAGTCCTGTGACAAAGACGAAAAAATAAACCTTTGTTTATGCTGATCTTGACCATTTCCGTACGAGGATTGAAGTGCACTTAGCTCATGAGTATTTTTTGAAAAGAATGTTACAGATGATAAATAAGTAAAAGAAAAATATTACACATAGTTCCTGTAGGTAAGCATTACTTTTAAACTTACTGTTTCCCTCGATAACTTTCGTACTAATTAAATATTATAACCTTCAAAGTGTTTTCTTTGATTTTCTACTGGGACAAAACTTACGTATAAATGCCAGTCAAAGTGTATTTTGGCGACGTCTTTTTTAATAGCAATATGACCTAGAGGGCATGTCTGGAAAAACAGGTTAAAAGGACGTACCTAGCACGCGATTAACCTTGTTCGGGTCAATCTTGTCGAAGGCGGTTTTGTTCCAAACGTAGTGTGAGCCGGGATATTTCTCCAACCACTGTTTAATCAGATCTTTGTTATCCTGCCTGTCTCCTTTCTTGTCCGGATACTCTGGGTCCGATTGGTTTTTGTGCATAAATTCCCGGCGTCCTCCAGCGAAGACAACCTCTATACCATTGCCATGAGAATATTCGACAAGCTGCGTTGCTTGAGAAAGCAAACATAAAAAAAAAAACAAGATTCAATTGTAAAATACTGGACTTCTATCTTAAGTGTGGGACACATTCATTTACCAATATCTTTGCAGTTGCTTCCGTCATCCTTGACCTTTGAATTGAGATCTTTGTCACTTTCCCAACCCCTATCGACTGAGTGCGCGTACGAACTCGCGGGAGTCGCGTGAGTGGCTCGCGTGGTAGTCACGACTCCCGTGGACATCCCAGCCCTCTCAGCGAGCGTCAGGATAGACACAACTTTACTTTTCTCAGTCAATGTCTCGCAATAGCCTCTTCTTACAGTTTCGTCTACACCAACAACGCCTGATAGAGAATCGTAGAGAGGAAAATAATCAAAGAAAACTACTATTTTGATTGTGAATGATAACATATCTGATTAGTGAGACCGTGAACTCAACAAAATTCTTAAGTCCAAAAATTTGACTTCAACACACCCACAAACTTAGGGATATTTGTCATTTTGACCTAAAGAATTGGGCAGGCGTTTCCTGAATGAGCAATTTTGTCCCCTCCAAAGCAATTAGTAGATAATTCCATTTTACAGAATTATTCAGTACCAAATGATAAAGAGGTATATCCTCCTCAGTTGTCAAGTTCTTTTTTTTCCGAGTCTTTTTCATGCACACCTTGGATAATGTGAGTTAGACATTTACACCCGTCTAAAAAGAACTTCGTTACAGCGACCACCCTTTTACAACAACCGTGCTCCTTCATTATAATGCTGTGTTCATCCAAACTATCCACCCCAACTGAAACCACTATACGAAGTAAAAGACTACTTTTCCACGGCTGGCAATTAGTTTTTCTCAGGGTAAAGGGTAAACTCTGTTACATTCAAGACTGATTGACACCTATCCAGATGTCTGCAGTAAGCCGCGCCTCAGATTATTGCCGCTCTTCCTGAATAAGATCCCATTCAATCACAGGTTCCTCCGAAAATTCGTCAGTTATTCCCAACAAATCATCATTTACCAATGTGTTACACATTTGTAAGGACCATGGGGGCAAGGAAGACTCTAGGGGGATAGACAGTATTGGCTAGGAACGCAACACAATGAGCTTGGCCAAGCTTGAACTTGGACCGTTGCGATCCGTGGTCCAGCGCGCTAATCCCACGTGGAAAAGGCGTCTTCCGCCACCTATGTTCTATAGTTTCCTGGTGTATTCCATTATCATAGTTGGACACCTGCCTCCGTTAGTCTTTATGCCGTTTAGAAAAGCCGTCGCAGAACTTGCGGAGTCCGTTCCCTGCATGTCAACGGTATACGTCTTTACCAGAGCTGTCCAAGGAAACACCTCCCAGCTCAACACATTTTCCTCACCATACTCCATGTTCTTCTGCTGCCCGTCAAAGATGCGTGCGGCGGTGACGGTACTGATACCCATTCCATCGCCCAAAAACAAAACTGCACTCTTGGCAGTGTCTGTGTTCGGTTTCACCTTAACATTGTCTTTAATGAGCTTGACACCTTGTTCATACCAGGCATTTTCATCTTGATTAGCAAAAATATCACCGTTTACACCTCAAGGAAAAAAGAAAAACAAAGAACATTACATTGTGCATTGCGTAACTATCCGCTGATGAAAACAGATCCTTATGACTTGAATGATTCGTTTCTGATCTTAAAAAAAATTTCCCTGCGAACAATGGCCAATGAGAGACGCTATCGACTTTTATTACACGACTCGGGCAGTCAGAGGGCCAATAACTATAATCAACCAATCAAAATGCTCTATTGCTGGTCAATATTCTCTCAGTATTGGATCGCGCACTGTCACGAATGGTCCCGAATGATACCGCACTTGTGTCCCTTTGAACTTCAGTCGTATAATAAATCTCTTATTAACCAAGCTTGCTCGGGACCATACTGGAAGAATATCGGCGCTCGGTCCGTACTGTCAAGACCTCGGGCCGATATTCTCCCAGTACGGCCCTCGCGCTTGGTTAATAAGATATATATCTTCAAGAACTGTCATCAAAGAAGAAAACCGAGACAGGTCTCGAAAGTTTTTATAATCAAACGACAGAGAAGTTTTTAGGCGGAGAAATCATTCTATAGGAGTTTTGTCCAAAGCGGGTCTGCAACGAACGAACTGATCGACGTCTTTGTAATTGGATTGGCTAAAGAAAGCCGAACATCGCCCTTCACAGCAACTTATCAACGACTAACTCTTTGATGACAACGCTTTCCCAGGCACAGTTTTTGATAATCAAAACATTCGTGAAGTTAACTGCGGCTCGTTTTATATTCAGAAATTTATGCACGAGTAAGTTACCAAACTTTTGAACTTTTGATCCAGTTAGTAATTCTGCTCTCTGACTGCGACAGGTTGCTTGTAAGTTATTTAAGAGAATTTGGTGTTATATCAAGATTTTTGCTGGATAAAGTGTTGAAATCGCGAGTACAAGTTACATGTTGAGCACCTCTCTAGTTTAAGGGTTTAGTTATGTCTACCATAATCAATGCTTTTTTATGCAATTTTAGTACTTTATTAAGTGGTTGGTTTCACACGAGTGGGTATGATGAAGTTAATTCCGTGTTGTTATTGGCATCCAGGGCTGGCAAGATGGGCCTATCTTGTACATTCCAGATTTCTCACCTTGTTCCCGCAAAAGGAGAATTCCCTGCTGTAATCTTTTCAGTGTCCATATCAACTGATAAATCTACGGGTATGATGTTCTTTTAGGTTTTGTTTTGTTTATGTTTTTCGCGTTTTTAACGTTCGAAACAAGGTCGGTGTTCATAACGACCTCATGCCAAGTTATAAACTCACATGTATCACGCCACCATCGCCCCACTCCTGATCACGTGAAACAGAGGGCAATGTCCATGGAGACTTGTCCTGACTTGTTAATTTATGGGAAATGAGCACGCGATCGAGGGAGAAGGAGAAAGAGCGGTGGGCAACGTACCTTTCCCTGTAGGCGTCTTATTAGGGCATGTTAACGATAAAAAGTGCACGATTCATTTGTTCAACTGGCCATGTTTGATTTGGAGCTAGGATCGGCGGTAGGGGAGAGCGGGTGAGAAGGGGCGAAATAATATTAATACCAAATATAATATTCACTCCCCACCCTCACCCCCCTCCTTACTGTCGCTCACCCCCTTGGTAAAAATCAAAGCCAGATGACGGCCTCCATTTTCGCTAAGGAAGTACGGAGTACTCGCTCGTTAAAATTACTCCTGGACTGCAGGCTCAACAATCCTACTCAAACCCTCAATCAATATACTTTATGTCTGTGTTCAGGTTCTTTTTGAGTAAGCTAGAATTAAGATTAAGATAATAATAAAAAATACAATCGAAGTTTTAAATTTTGTTAAGTTTGGTATGAGACTGTTTCTCCCTTTCAAGAGGATCAGAAAGTTTCATCACAGTAGAAACGCCCACAAATGTCTGAAGAGGCTTCTAATGTAATCAGACGTTTTTAACCCACAAATATGGTTTGAAGCTAACTTGTTTTGGAAAAGAGTTGCGAATGAGGACGTAAACCTTTAGGTGTCTAAAGTGTAGCAGTTTCTGAATGCCATTAAATTCGACGAAAGAGGTCTTTGAATTCAAGTACACATTGGTGAAACATTACTTTATCGATAGGTATCAGTCAATATAGATCTCGATCGATTCACTGAAATAAAATTAGAGCCCTCGTAATCACAGTATGTAAAAACAAATTAATCATATCCTTGTCGCAAACTGTTGAAGTCCTCGGAGGCTGTTCATATCTTCAATTGGTTTTATCAACTAAGTTGATAATATAAATAAGCCTTCGTAAAGAGTTTAAAGGCTTACGTCCATCCCTGCTGTTGCAAAATACTTTTCTTTCTGCTTGTCGGCTTAGTAACTTCACCGGTAGGATATCATTTCATATTTAAGGATGAAGTCCATGTCATGCTGCTAATGTATGATTATTAATGCTCAGGGAATTATAAAATATTTTCAGTAAAAGAACAAAATAATGTCCACTAATGATTATTCCTTACAGAGAAAACGATAAGTGAGAGCATTCCGGTTTTTAATTGCTAAGGTTGATCACATTTTTGAGTATAAACAATCAAGACATGATGACGCGCACCCCTTCAGTATAGGCTGTGTACTTGCCCCTACTCATATCAAACGTTTGTTTTAATTGATACATCTCGAAATAACAACCACAAATCCTTGAAATCCGCGATGAAAAACTTTTCCTCTATCCTTCTTGATTTTCAAGCGTAGTTAAAGTTTATCAAAAATCAATGCTACTAATGAAATCACGACTTGAACTAAACCGAAACCAATCCATTTTTCCTACCTTGAAAGGATGTTAATTTTGATCCGTTTTCGTCAGACGTCAAGATTAGCATGAAAGCCATGACGAGAGGTGCTTCTGAGGAAACTCTCATCTTGAATTCAAAAGTAGGCGTCCCTGCAGTTTAATTCGATCTGACCTCTCTCTCAATTTTTTCCTTCTACTTCGCAAACAGGTTTCGTTGTTATGTAACGCGAAATTTGTTGGGTGTTATATACACGCTATGCAAAGCGAGCATTCTTCTGTAGGGATTGGTAACGAGTTTGCACCAAAGCGAGGTCGGTCAGACATCGCCATTTCGTTGTTCGCTTTTTTAGCAGGGATTTTCTCGAAATCCTTATCGATATTTTGCCCTTGTAAATGCCTACACACTGCTGTGTTCCTCATTGTACCTTTAAGAGCCATCGCAATTCAGATGGGGAGAAAGTTTCATTCTTTAACTTCCCGAAGAATGCAGTTTTGCGAAAGAAATGGATCCATGCGATTCGAAGAGATCCCGGAAAAGATTTTGAACTAACTCGTCGGACTAAAGTGTGCACCCGTCATTTCAAGAAAACTGACATGAAAAAATCATTGAATGGTATTATAACACTGAAGCCTTGTAGCGTCCCATCGAAATCCTCGTGGCATATGGCATCGCCAAAGGAAAGAAAATCGCCCTTCGAAACGCCAAACAGTAACAACACCTGTCCAAGATGAACCTACAACCGCCGATTCAATCACTGAGCCTGTAGAGATTGTACGCGAACCGACAATAGAAGAAAAACCTATAGAAGCACAAGCAGAGAATGCTAAACTTAAAGAAAAAATGAATGCACTTGAATCTCAACTTCAGGATCTTCGACTGAAGTCAGAACGATTTGCCAAAGCAAACAAGTTACTAATGGCTGAGCTCGATTCAGAACGACAAGAATCACTTCAGACTTTGTTTGATAATGAAATAATGAAGTAAGGAAAGATGAATTACAAAAAGAGTGTATGTTTCTCCAGAACAAACTTCATCACACAGAGCAAAAGATATTCAGCCTAGATAACTTACAATCTGATGAAAATATTGCGTTTTATACTGGTTTTCCTAATTATCGTACATTTTTAGGAATATTCAAGTTTATGAATACAGGAGTTAAAGGATATAATGTGAGGTATCACACTTCGAAGAAGAATGATGTGGAAGCAGATTTGTATCAAAGTCAGGTTAATGAGGACAACATTGAAGATCAGGATGATGAAACCCCAAAGAGAAATGTGGCAGACCAAGGAGACTGACACTAATTGATGAATTTTTCCTTGTAATATGTAGGCTAAGAAGAGTATTTGCTGCGCAGCACCTAGCCCACTTATTTGGAGTTTCTCAGGCCACTGTCAGTAGATTGTTTACAACCTACATAAACTACATGTTTTTGAAGTTTGGTCAAGTGAATATTTGGCACGGGGAAGCCAAAGAAGTTCTTTTCGACGGGTGTACAATTTGTTTATATCTGGATCGACCAAGTTTTGATCTTTTCCAGTTCTTACATACTCTTCTACCCTATAGAAATAAAGAAGAAACATTTTGATAAGATCACGAACAAAAGCAAATAAGAGGGTTGCTATTTTTACTAGTCCTTGTAACTCCCAAATAAAACTTTGATTTACATTGTAATATCGAATAAAGTTTCCCAATAAATCATCAATATACCATTTTTACCTCTTAAAAAGTCAACATTTCACTATTATATGAATAATCGATTCTCTATATAGAGATTTTACTGAGCAATCCGCATGACGGCGAAGCTCCGAAGATTTGAGTGCAATAATGGCGACTACAACTCAATACTTATCAAGCCATTTAATGGCGACTTCAGAAACAGTTTTATGACTTTTTGGATTGAAAAAGAAATTTCAAGCCGTACTTAATTGTTTTTAGCATTAAAATACGTAATTTGGCTGTCGCTAAGAATGAAAGAATCGTGAACCTACCGCTTAACAAGTTGCGCCTTCGTCTTCAAGCCCTTTGCCCGATCTCCTCTGCATTTGAGCCAGAATTTTAACTCATCTACTTTTAAACTACTTGGGTCTCTTCCAGAAAGTGAAGAACCCGGAATATCCGCTTCTGTAAGCGTAGAATTGCTCATATTTCAGTCTAAAACGGTCACCAATAACTCACATCTCTCTAAAACTTCTGTATAGTCACCCTTGTGCATGGCTGACCGACCTCGTTTTGGTGCAAACTCGTTACCAATCCCTACAGAGGAATGCTCGTTTTGCATAGCGTGTAGAGAATCGTTCAATCGGCGGATAACAAATAAGCTTTTGACAAAATTTCCATTTTTATTTATGCATCACATCACATTGCAAGGAACTGAAGTAAAACAGAACAATTTGGGGATCCTGTTGCACGCCTTTGCGACCCAAGAGCTAACAGTTCAAACTGCCAACTCACTGTTAACAGACGACGTGAAAACATCTTAAATAAGAATTATAAATCCTTAGGCGCATTTTTGAATGATCTAGCTTTGGGTACGCATGACAGAGGGAACTGTTTTAAACTCTCTGGCTAATTGGAAGACCCACTGTTACTGGTCTCAATTAGGGTTGTCCACATTTTGCTTGCATAATTTTGAGCGTAATAGGAGGCAAAAGTATCAAGTATGCAAAATAATAAATGAACTAAAAAATAAGGAAAATCAAAGGCAAGGGCAGAGGAAGATTATACAGAAACCTGTAAGGAACAATGCCAAAATGTTTTCGCAATCCATAAATGTTTTGAATAGTAATTTTCTAATGTAAATCCCTTGAGAAAAGTTCTTCAAATCTACACGACAATTACAAATCCTGATTAAATTAGTCTCCACCCATAAATTTTTGAAATTATCTGCAATCCAACGTTCTTTGTGATTCCAGAAAATTTTTTGTGCAATGTTCAACTATTTAAAAAATTATTTGACTCACGTCGTCGCGTCACGCGTCACGCAATGAGCTTTGATTGTGCGCTTTGGAGTAAAATGAGATTCTGACACATGCCTTGATACGTAAGGCCATTCTAAAACTTTCGTTTTGATGTCTGCTACGTTTTGTTACACACACGAGGAAATCAACGTGATAAGTTTAGCTGTGACTAACGATGCCCGGAAAGCGACTATAATTATGTTTGCACGGACTACCCAACTCCCAGCTCCGGAGCACTACGTATCCAAATCTTATTCAGTCACGATTATCCCATAGGCAAAGTTTACGTCACTACTGAACGAATGGCTAATAGCGACTGATTGAAGGAAGCCACGTCGTCGCGTCACGCGTCACACACGCGCGTCAATGAGCTCTGATTGTGCGCTTTGGAGTAAAATGAGATTCTGGCACGCCTTGATACGTGATGCCATTCTACAACTTTGGTTTGATGCTTGCCACGTTTTGTTACACATACGAGGAAATCAGCGTGATAAGCTTAGCTGTGACTTACGATGCGCGTAAAGCGACTATCTGCTTTCACTGACTACCCAAGACGGTCAGATGCAGAGTACTACGTATTCAAATTTTATTCAGTCACAATTACCCCGCATGAAACGTTTACGTCACGACTGAACTATTGGCCATCAGTCACAGATTGATGGAAACCACAACAACGGTTCATTTCTGCCAGCCATACGAGTAACTAAACGCATACGTTGCCTTTGGGAGATGATGAGGACCTTGAAAAGATAAACAACAACGACAAATACACTTTCGAAAAATGAGAATGAGTAATTTCCTATTTAAAGGTCTTCAGAAACTTCGGAGATTCCGACGACCCTTAAATCTCATATAGAGATCGTAAACATCATTCCGTCGTTTTATGTTTTGGCTTAGATCTCGATTAAATCTGCAGTCATCAATTTTTGCTCAAGATTCTTTAATTACCCAGCGTCGACTTCTTCAGTGAAAGTTGGACGTTTTCGATATCTTTGTTGACGACACCAATGACTCACAAAAAGGGATTTACGAAGAGTCCTTAAAGTTGTACGAGAATAATAGACAAGAGAGTAATCGGAAAACGATCAGAACATTGATGTCGCGTCAGATTTGTTTAAGACGTATGCAAAGCGATTTTTAGGGAAAACTACTTAGCCATTGGGATGCCAGTCTATTCCAAAAGGCAAGGCGCAGAAATAAAAAACAATTGACAGAGATTATAGTTAATCCATATTTCTCTAGGGTTAAAACTCCATGTAAGGGTTTGCAAAACAAAACCTTTTGTTGTTATCAGTTAGAGACTGAAATCTAGCACATCAAATTTGCAGAATGTTAATCATAAGCTTTTGATTTTATATCTTGTTACGTTCAAATCGAGACTTACCAGCCAATACACACACCAAGGCAAAGAAACAGAACTTTACACTCAGGCAGTCAACAGTCATGGTTGCTAAATTACTGCACAACCCTGGAACGTGTACGAGTTACAAGCCGAACCCAGCTACACCACATGAGAATGATCAATGAAGTAGTATTACGTAAACGAATAGCGAACTATTTATGTAACAACAGAATGGTCACGCAATCGAAATATTGGATCATTAACATATAAATTTGGATCAAGTAGTCTGATTGTACGAGTGATACTTAGCCCTGATGAGGCCAAACGTCGGTAGCATTAATCACTGACATCAAACTGACAGGCTTTTTTAAGACCATTTTCAGCTGGAAAGTCAGAAAACTCACGAGTTCGTAGTTACTAAAAGTTGGAATCACCTCAAACCACCTGAAACCATCTGAAACCATCTGAAACCACCGATGAAAACATCTGAAACCATCTGAAACCCCAAGGAAACCATCTGAAATTACCTGAAAATATCTCGAAACAATTTAAAACAACATGAAAGCACCTAAAAAAACTACGGGTAACATGAGAAAATAAGTGTTAGCAATCGAGGGTTCTGTCCTGGTGTACCGGTTCACAAGGGAATTACCATTGTTCTTTCTTTGTTTAGGAGTCATTGGTTAGCTGTTGTGTATTGTTCGGTCTTTTGTAACGGCTCTTGTGAACCGGTACACGAGGACAGAACCCAATCGAGTTTATCCACAGGGAGCCCGGCTTACGGATATCGTATATAATGCCCTACAGTACAGAATAGGCACCACAAACTGGGCTTTAGGCTTTTTTTTCTCAAAATCTCAACTATCTAGTCAATTTACTTAGGCAGTGGAAGTTAAAGCCACCATTCATCAGCTATATTCTGTCATTTGCAGTAAAATACCTTGCAAAAAATCCACATATATTTCACTTTTGCAAAAACAAAGTCAGTGAAATTCTAGGTCACGCTATAAATTCGTCTCTGATTAAAAAG